GCACCCTAGGCATTTGTGAAAACTTATCAATGATGTGATGGATATTGTCTAACTGAATTCGAATAGTTTGAGAAAAATCAGACAAATTAAAACAACACATTCCTGGGAACTGTTCACATCCCATATGTTCTTTTAACAGTAGATAGTCTATAGTCGCAGGGTTTTGGAGTGCTGCAACTTACACTTCTCCTAAGTCTTGGTTGAGTTCCAACAGTATAGATCCAGTCAAATTTGTTGTTTTACTGTATGCACAGGCCAGCTTAGATATCTCCTTCTTCATTCCAATCGCAAGTCCAGGAACCGGTTTCCTCACCTTTTAAAAAAAAATTTTTTTATTAAGGTATGATTGATATACTCTCTTATGAAGGTTTCACATGAAAAAGCAATGTGGTTACTACATTTACCCATATTATCAAGTCCCCCCCCCACCCCAATGCAGTCACTGTCCATCAGTGCAGCAAGATGCCATAGATCTACTATGTGCCTCACCTTTCTTTGTGAATTTTCTTCCTCAGTCCTGGGTGGCTTCTCCTCGGCTTGGGCCGGACCATGGGGCGCATCTTCCCTCCCGCCCTTGGAGCCTGGCTGGTTGTCTGGCTGTGGGAAGGGACTTACTTGCACTGACAGACCTATTCTTTGTGTCTTGGCAGCCCCTTCCCAGGAACGACTTCCCTGCCATCGAAGGTGATGAGGGCCTCTCTGGGTGGACCTGGGTCTGGGTGGCTCTCTCTCTCCTTCCAGGCCCTCCAGGTGGTGGCAGTGTGGCTCTGCCTGCAGAAGGTAGAGGGGCTGGGCCTCTGGGCGTGAGGGCCCCAGGACTCTGGTCTCCGGTCTCCTCACTACCCCTGAGGCATTTGGTGTTGATCTTCGCCTCCCCCTACCACTTGCCTTAATACCAGAAAAATCATGACCTTAGAAAATCCTGGAGTGGAATGATACCTAGAGGTAATATAGTCCAGTGTTCTCAGCCTATGAAACCTGTTTCTCCCTTTGTATAACAAAAATATTGTGATGTCCCCTTTACTACCCTAAAATGAAATACATAGATAATGTAACTTCCCATATACATATATTAAAAAAATTAATAGTTCAATATAAGGCCCTAATTGTAGTAGGGATAAATCAAAGGCCAAATTTTTAATAAGGTAGTATGTATTTCAGTATGTAGTAATTATCCAGGAAGACATAATGAAGCAGTAAAGTGATTGTACCAAACAGAATCTCCGAATGTTACAGCTACAAATGCAGGCTGATGTGTTTTTTTGGCAACTTAGAAATTAGGGGCAGACTTGGCACTGGTGAAGTGATTTCCCCAAATAGGGAACAACTCTTTGTTAAGTTTTGAAAAAATAGTCTTCCCTTGGCTTATATGATAGTTGCATTTTTGCGAAAATGTCAGTGTTTATTGGAACTACCAAAAAATCCTCTGTGTTTACATGTAGAATGTAATTAGGGTTTAGTCTCAATTAATTATGAAAAGGTTGTTCACCTATGTAAATGTCAGGTGACTTACTCAAATGTAATAGGGCAGTTTTTGATTCTGCAGGACTTTCCTGAGCATATAGCATTTCTGGCTCCCTCCCACACTCCTTACCACTAAGTGTCAGTCATTGGACTAGTAAGATACATCCTTCAGGTTCTAGAATACCTCCCTAGGGGGTGGCCCTGCCCCACTGAGAACCTCTGGCTTGGTTCAGTTCACTGGCCCTGTAGCTTACATAGGTGGTTACCAGTGGCTGAGTGCTGTGTGTCCAGCATTGGTCAAGTGCTTATTTATTATAGCTCATTTTATCCTCATAACACTAGGAGGTGTTTTAATTATGTAGGTGAGGAAGGTGAGGCTTAGGGATGTTAAATAATTTGCCCACACCATGGAGAAAATGTGTGGAGTGCAGGTCTCTGCGACTCTATACTCCCCTCCTAACTGTTACGGTACTGGCCCCTGGGGGTCGGAGAGAAGTGGCCAGGGAAGGGGAGCCCTTTGCCACATACTTGTGGGTGAGGTGGCAGGGAGAGCAGCAGTAGGAACCAGGCCTGAGACTTGCTGCTGCTTTCTGTTTTTTAACCTCTTTTCTAAAGTACTGGTCGACACCCTGAAAATAGGGGTCCTTATGAGGTCCCTTCCTGGGTCCTGGGTTTGGTTCACCTGGGGTGAATGGGTGGGTGGCTCTTTCAAGGCTGGGCGGGGAACTGTGCCCTTGCCAGGGGGAACTTGTGGTGGGGTAGCACCAGCCGAGGGCCTTCTGCCCGCTGCAGAGGCAGACTGAGGGCCCTGCTGCCCTCACCCCCATGTCTTTGCTCTCTGAAGGGGTGCTCCTCCTTGGAGAACCAGTCCGTTGGGAGACAAGCTTACAGCTTATCATGGATGTCCTTCTCAGCAATGGGAACCCTGGGACTGGTCTGGCAGCAGCTCCCTATCCCCATCTCCCCATCCTGGCCAGCAACATGGACCTCCTTTGGATGGCTGAAGCCAAGATACCCAGGTGAGGACACAGAGCCCTTGACCTTAAAACTGGTGACCCACTTCCAGCTGCTGGCTGGGCAGTCAGATCCCACTGGGGGTCACAGAAACTTGGCCTTCTGGGAGGGGCTTCAAGGGCCACTTCACATACTCATTATTAAATGAAAGCCACAGCTTACTAAGCACTGAAGCTGTATGGCAATGCTCTTTGACACACGACCCTTCCCTCCAGAATCCTAGCAGAGTGTGCCCTCTCTGACTAGCAGAACCCAAGCTCTGGATGGCTTCCAAGATGTATCAGGGCAGTTGCTCTTACTTGCCCTCACCCTGTAGCACTGGTGCTTTCCTCTGCTCCCCTTTCCCCTTAAGAGGTAGGCACAAGGGAAAGTAAGAATCACTCTCATGGCTGTACAGACTGGAGAACTGAGACGTGGTGGGGGAATGACTTTCTCAAATGTGCATGGGTATTGCACATGGCTGTCCCCATGCTCCCTGCTCAGCTGTGGGGTGCCTCTGTCCTGTCTATGTCTGAAACCAAGCATGACAGAGGCAGCCCTTTTTTTTTTTTTTTGGAGAGGGCATCTCTCATATTTATGGATCAAATGGTTGTTAACAACAATAAAATTCAGTATAGGGGGGTCAATGCTCAATGTACAATCATTAATCCATCTCAAGCCTAATTCTCGTCAGTCTCCAATCTTCTGAAGCATAACGAACAAGTTCTTACATGGTGAACAAATTCTTACATAGTGAATAAGTTCTTACATGGTGAACAGTACAAGGGCAGTCATCACAGAAACTTTCGGTTTTGATCACGCATTATGAACTATAAACAATCAGGTCAAATATGAATATTCGTTTGATTTTTATACTTGATTTATATGTTGATCCCACATTTCTCCCTTTATTATTATTATTATTTTTATTTTTAATAAAATGCTGAAGTGATAGGTAGATGCAAGATAAAGGTAGAAAACATAGTTTAGTGCTGTAAGAGGGCAAATGTAGATGATCAGGTGTGTGCCTATGGACTAAGTATTAATCCAAGCTAGACAAGGGCAGCAAAACATCCATGGATGCAGAAGATTCTCTCAAAGCAGAGGGGGGTGAGGTTCTGAGCCTCACCTCTGTTGATCCCCAATTTCTCACCTGATGGCCCCCCTGTGACTGTGCCTGTCTTAGGTTGTTCCTCCCTTGAGGAATCTTACCCATCTCTGGCTAACCAGTCATCTTCCGGGGCCATACAGGGAAATCAGAGGCAGCCCTTTTTCTGGCCCTCAAGGGAAGGGAGGGTGATGGCTGCTGTGTGCTGTTCAGCTACTCTTATCTCTAAGGCCCAAGTCTAGCATTTTCTCTCCCTGCCATTGGCTCCAGTGTGACTGACCTGTCAGCAGAGGGCAGCAGGGCCCAAAACGGCCTCAACTCAGGCCTCCATAGCTCCCCAGATGGGGACGGTGTCGTTCTCTGATTTTTCAGGCATACCTCTGCAGCTCAAGGATAGGTATTTTCTCTGAAATATTCTTCCAAGAGCTAAGGTTCACTGACATTAGGGGAGGGGGCATTGGTTATATAGGCTGTGAACTGAGTAGCAAGAGGCAAATTTCAATTTATAAAGCAGATTTGAAATTTTTGACTTAATTAAAAATTGAAAATAGAATTTGTTATATAAGTGGCATTGAAATCGTAACTTTATTGTATAGTATCAGTTAGGGTTTAGTTTAGCAGCAAGGGATGAAAACCCAAAATGAAAGCATCTTAAAGTAAAAGTTCTTTTCTTTCTCAGGTAAAATAAATCCGGTTAGGCAGTCCTGGACCTGTGTGGAAGCCACACCTGCCAGGACACAGGCACCTTCTGTCTTCCTGCTGTGCAATCTTCTGTCTTTCACTACATAATTCAGAATGGCTGCCTGAACTCCAGGCATCATATCGGCATTCCAGGCAGCAGGCAGGAGTAAGGGAAGAGTGCTCCCTCCAATTTTGTGTGTACCTCCTGGAAGTTTAGCCCAGCACTTATGGTTTCATGGTCGGCTTCCCCTTAGCCACCTGGCCACACATTCCTCCAGTGTGGCCTCAGTTTCCTCCAGTGGAGGCGGGGATAGTTAGTTACACCTATCAGCCATATGCTCCGCTGAAAATTGGCACCAAGAAGGGGTGAATAGCAGCCAGTCTACAACAAATCTAAAGCAGAATTTAATCTTTGCTCTCTGGAGCCCGACTGCCTGGGTTGTTTGTAATCCTAGTTCTAGAAGCTTGGGCAAGTTACTTAATGTCTGTGTGCCTCAGTTTCTTCGCTTGTAAGATGAGGATTATGATGGCTAGCTCATGGGGTTTTTCTGAGAGTTAGATGTGACATGCTGTCACCAGCTGGTACAGTGCTCAGTGTTAGTAGATAATAGCGGGTCGCAAATGTGGGTGTAAGTGTAGCTTCCCCAGGTAAGGCCCCTTTGAGCTGTCACCACCAGCCCTGTAGTGCAAGTTGGGGAGCAGCGGGCTGTGGAGGGGCAGGCGACCTGGAGGGGAGGCCTGAGCCGCAGGGCTCTCACTGCAGGTTTGGCCACGGTACCTTTCTGCTGTGCCTGGAGGCCATTTACCAGAAGCTGACGGGCAGAGAGCTGCGATACGAGGGTCTGATGGGCAAGCCCAGCGTCCTCACCTACCAGTATGCGGAGGACCTGATCGGGCTGCAGGCGGCGCGGCGGGGCTGGGCCGCGCCCATCCGGAGGCTGTACGCCGTGGGGTAAGCGCGCCACTGGCGCCCCCGCCCGCCCGCCGCCCAGAGCCACGCCCCGGGGCCTCGCTGCACAAGCCTGACCGGGGTTCTCCCCTCATTCCGGCGCGGCCGCCCCTGCAGCGATAACCCCATGTCCGATGTGTACGGCGCCAACCTGTTCCACCGCTACCTGCAGAGGGAGAGGCGCGGCGCGCAGAGCTGCGCCTCCATCCTCGTGTGCACCGGCGTGTACTGCCCCCAGGCCGCATCGCCCGCGCCCGGTGGAGAGGCGCCCCCGTTCCACGGGCACCGCGACTTCGGCTTCAGTCCAGGACTCATGGAGGCGTCCCACATCGTGAACGACGTGGACGAGGCTGTGCAGCTGGTTTTCCATGAGGAGGGCTGGGCTCCGTAGTGAGGGCGTGCGGGAGGTGGGGAGGGAGTGGCCGCGGGGCGACCCCACGTGTAGGCTCCGGTCACTCGGTGAAGACAGTTTTTTTCAGCTGGGCAGTAGCCACACAGCGGTACCGTGGGTAGCACTGAAGCCCGAGTCCTGTCCGCTCTGTCCGGTAGCCTGAACTCAGGAAGCCCTTTCTCTCTGCCTCAGGTTCCTCCTTGCTTCTGTGGGGACTTCGCAGAAAGGGAGGAGGGATAGTACGGAAATTGCAGGGCCTTTGAAGGCTGCTGCATGCTAGCAAGGGTGTGACTGATTCTAGGCAACTGCTTTGTATTGTGTTTTAGCTTATTGCCCAGAGACTTTTTTAAAATTAATCATAATAAATGTTCTTCATGCTGCCTCTTGCAAAGCTCTGTCTGGAATGTACTAAAAAGTTTTTCTGGGCCAGGAGAGTGGGTGACCTTGAGGCAAAGAGATGGTGGCATATCCTGCCAGGTGCTGACATTTCCTCTCTTACCTCTCCTCCCTTCCATCTCCAGCCCATCCCAGTCTGAGCTGTGAAGGGGAATATCCGAATGAGTGTAGGAATGAGTCATGGCCTGGCTGTGGCATATACTTAGTAATTTCCCTTATGTGGAAAAGAAAATGATCTTTTGTATGGTTTGTTCGGAAAGAAGGGGCAAACTTTTTGCTACAGCGATTCTAGACACTGTGTTCCTCACGTTCCTCTATCTAGGAGTAATCCAATTCATCTTCCACATCTGTGTCCCCCATGACCCTGTGTCTGACAACCCCTTAGTCCATGCCCTCATTTTACCCAGCGTGTATTTGTGTGTGACACAAGCTGATTACTGTCTCCCTCTGCTTAGAACACTTTTTATTAGGCTGTCTCTGACTTCTTGACACCTCTGGGTTTAGGGGGGTCATTGAGGGGAGAGACTGTGGGAGACTGAGGAGTGGATGGTGAAATGGGAGAGGGTCAGGAGCTGGCATCTGGGCAGCAGAATAAAGGGTTTCAGAAGGCAGGGTCATGGCTGTGCTCTCTCTGCACTAGCAGAGCTTACCCCTGTCCAAAGCTGGACGCAGTCAGGCCCCCTCCTGCTGCACCCTGGGTGATCTGGGCCCTCTGGTGGCCCTCCACTTGAGACAGTAGCACCTCTCTGTTGTTTGGCTGAAGATGTGGGCTCATCCCTGCCTTCTCTCTCTCATATCCTTAGTCTGTCAGCTGATCCCGGCAGCCTGGGCTCCAGAGTGTGAGGGCTCTGACTTCCCCGCCCAGTCCCCGCCTGTCTTGGGCCCCTCGGCCTGGGTTCGCAGTGGTTGCCACCTGCCATCCTGTCTCACACCCCACCCCCGCTCTTCCCCCCTGAGTGGCCCAGACCTCAGATCATAAGCTTGATTTGTTCTCTGGTCAGAATCCTCGTGCCACTCAGAATGAAAGCCCAATCCCTCCGGCAGCCCCTGGACCTCCACATCTTGCTCTGGCACTGCTCTTCATGGCTTCACATCAGCCATGCTGTGCCCTGTGCCCCGGGGCTCTGCCCTCAGCCATGCCTCTCATGCCCACACAGCTCTCTCCATCCCTTGAGGGACTGTGGATGCATCACTGCAAAGGCACTCCCTCAGCTCTTGTGAACATCGCACTCTGTCCTCACCCTGCTTAACTTTTTCCAAAGCCCTTCTCTCTGACCTATATTCACTTCCCTATTTTCTGTGTTCTATCAAAATATAAGCCCATGGACTTTGCACCTTATCCCTGCACTCATAAGCCAGGAGCTTGGTGGGGTGCAGACCCTGAGAGTCCTCCTGCAGAGTCCTTAGACACCAACATGGTTTCCTTTTTCTTCTCTTCTGGTGAGTACCGCGGAACTGAAGACACTAGGACTTGGAGTTAGACCAGGAGTTGAGTCCTAGCTTCCACTTCCTGGTTATATGGCCGTGGGCAGTTTCCTGCATGGCTCCTAGCTGCCATTCCTTTGTCTGTAAAGTTGCATTGACAATGTGTATTTCATGCATGAGCTATCTTGAGTACAGTCCTGTATCATATAGGATTTTGTTTAGCAGCTTGTTATAAAAATCTGACTACAGTGGCCTGAACAAATAGGTGGTTATTTTTTTATACAACAGAAAGTCAGAAGTATGCATTTCAGGCTAGGGAAGCAGGATGTCACCAAGGAATATCAGGTGTTTGGCCCCCCATCCTTAGCATGCATGTTTGATCGGTTACACTTTTCAGCCTCTCTTCCACGTTCCCAGAAGAAGGAGGAAAGGGTAGAGACAAAACAAGTAGAGCTGGACTCCCTTAAGGAAATCTGAGGGGTTCTACCTCAGGCCTTCCCGTTCTGCCTGGCTGACCACAGCTGGGTCCCATGGGTGCCAGGAGCTGCCAGGAAGCAGGGGCAGGGCACATGGTGGCTCAAATAAAACCAGGGTCTCTTTGTGAGGAAGACCAGTAGAATGGCTTTTGGTTGGTCACTGGCAGATGGCACCAGTGCCTGGAACCCAGAAGGCATTCAGCTGTGACTCTGTTCAAGTCTTTTGAGGAAATGGGTAGAGCCCTGGTCTCGGGGCACCTTATCTAACAGTCGTCTGAGCCGCTGGGCTGGGTAGCAGTATTGCGAGCTTGCATTTGAATATCACTTACCTTTTCTGAAGCATTTTAAAACAGATTTCCATCACCCATGCTTTGTTAGAGCCTCCCAAAGCCCCAGATGGAGGGAGAATTCTTATCTGTCCCATTTTTATAAATGAGGGTGCCAAAACGAGTACTTCATTTCAGACACACTTACTGCAGGCCTACTAGTTGTGAAGCATCATCCTAGGCGCCACAGCAGTGACAGTCCTTGGCAGTACATGCCCTGTGGAGCTCACCTCTAAGTGATGATGTGTCCAAAGTCAGTCAGCACACAGGGGGCCTACAGCTCAGTCTCCTAACACTGAGCCTGGGGTTCTCCCATGGCATGCACCAAAGACCCTCCCCACCCTTAGCCAGCCTGCTGCCCTGCCTTCCCAGCATTGCTTCATGCCCTGGGGCAGCTGTAGTGTGCATACAGCCCAGGTGAGCCCTCCTTGGGCCAAATAGGTCAAGCTTACCAAATGTAATGACAGGTAAGTGCAGGGATGAATTGGGAGGTAAAGCCAACTATGGCTACGTGGGGAAGAATCTTGCCAGAGCTGAGGATCCTTACCTCCAGATCACAGAGACAGAATGACAGCATCTCTCTGTGGCCATCTGCCTCTGGGTGTGTCCTTTTGGCTGGCTGTCATTCTGGCTGTGTCGCTGTTCTCTCCCTTTCTTTCTTGTTTGAGTTTCCTAAAGATACCACAAGACATTCCAGACTGGATGCAGAAGAGCAGGTGTACTGCAACATTACTTCTGAGAATCTGTGTCAGAGGGTAGGGCCAGACACTTAGCTCCAGTGCTAATTTTGTCCCTCCGGGGCTTTGTCTAAACTGTGGAACCAACTGCTTCATTTGTTCAGTCCCAACTGAATAAAAATATTACTGTTTTGTCTTTTGATAGAGTGAAGAAAATACAAAACCAAAAAGACTAAGTCAATTTGAACAGGAAGTAAACCCATATTTTCATAGACATTAACAACCTGAAACAAAACTACACCATCAGATGTTCACTGTGAGATCAACTTGGGTCTCCTCAGTCACTACTTTGGAGACAGAGTAAGGGGGCGCTTGGTGGGTTCCACTCGGTGGCAGCAGCTTCCAGCCCCCAGAGGACACCTGTGGCTGCCAGCTTACATGCAGCAGGGAGCTGGGAGCAGGATCCCGCAGAGCTGGGGTTGCTGTAGCAACCGGATGCTGCCTTCAGGGCAGAATTTAAAAATATCTCAGCTATAATAATTTTTTCCCATCCCGCTGTCACTTCCCTGTGCTGTGGGGTGTTGCTGAGGCCAGGCTGTGTGGGACGCCTGTTTCTCTGCCTCCAGCTCTTGGCAGCTTCTTTGGGGGTTGGGGGAGGAGGATTGTCTCATGGTGTGAACTGCTGAGAAACCGACAGCTTCGACTTTGCTTCCAGGCTTCTTCAGCTCTTGGTTCCAAAAGACTTATCTTTTTGGGGAGGCTTCTCTTTGTCTAGCTTGAAACTGTCTTCCTGCTCCCACTCTGGCGTGAGCTTTCTGGCTTACCTTCCTACGGGAGCAGCCTTAGTCTCCTGGAACCTCTTTGGAGAGGGGAGGGGTATATTCCTTCTTGTCTGCTTTTTCCTTTGGTCTTTCTAACTTTCTCTTTCGGTTTCATTTATTCACTCAAAAAAATAATAGTTGAACACATACCTACTAAGCACAGGTAAGAAATGAGAAAGGAAGAAGAAACTCCTTGGCTGGGAGGCATTTATCACTGTCTTGACCTTAGACTTGGCCCTATCAGATTTCAAACATTTTTATAAAATTACAGTAACTAACGCACTGTTCTGTTGGCAGAGGGAGGGGTACAAATCACTAGGACAAAACATTCCTCAGAAACACATATGAATGGATAAAAAATGGATAAAGAACATATAATGTACAGACACACAGATGGGCGTGCCTGTGCGCACAGGAATATTATTCAGCCAAATAAAGAAGGAAATCCTGCCATTTGCAACAACATGGATGGACCTCATGTGAAGCGCATCGTAAGTGAAACAGGTCAGACAGAGAAAGACAAATGCTGTATTATCTCACATGTGGAATCTAAAAAGAAAAAAAAAAACCCTGAGCCCAAAGATAGAACAGACTGGTGGTTGCCAGAGGTGGGGTGGAGGCATGCAAAATAGGTGAAGGGGGGGTCAAAAGGTACAAACTAATAGTTACAAATAACTGCTGGTGATGTAATGTACAGAATGGTGACTATAACACTGTATTATATAATACAATTTGAAAGCTACTAAGAAAGTACATTTGTAAAGTTCTCATCACAAGAAGAAAAATTCTGTCACTGTGGGAATGGATGGTATACACTTACCGTGGTGGTCATTTTGTAATATATACAAATAGAGAATCATGCCGTACAGCTGAAACTAATATAATGTTATTTGTCAGTTATACCTCAATTTAAATAAAAGGTAAGTAGGATTAATTTTAACCTTTAAATTATATCTCCTTGCTCTATGATCATACAGCATCCCAGACTATTTGCTCAGATAAGTTCATTGAAATTACTTAATGTGTGCCTTTCCTGCTCAATGGAGACTCTATGAAGGTTACAGAGAAGACTATGGCTTATGAGGCACTTACAATACAGAACTGCCATTCAGTTTAAAAATTGCAATACAGCATGGCAAAGATACACAGAGGTATGCGAAGATACACATGGGGTGCGACAGCAGCCGCCAAGGTCAAAGATCTAGTTCCAGTCAAACTGAATCTCAGGATAGCAAAAGATCTCTTGTCAGATAAAACCTATAGTTG